TGACACGATAGCAGTATTCCGGTATTTGAGAGGCTGCCACAAAGAAGAGGGAGTCAAACTATTCTCCAAGGCACCTGAGGGCAGAACAAGAAGCAATGGGTGGAAACTAATCAAGGAGAGAAGCAACTTAGGAGAAATTTCCTGAGAGTGAAAACAATTAATCAGTGGAACAGAAGTTGCCTCCAGAAGTTGTGAATGCTCCAACACTGGAAGTCTTTAAGAAGATGTTGGATATCCATTTGTCTGAAACGGTGTAGGGTTTCCTGCCTAGGCAGGGGGTTGGACTAGAAGACCTCCAAGGTCCCTTCCAACTCTGCTGTTGTATTCTTGTATTGTATTGTATTATTGTAAAATGAAAAAAAAACAAAAAAAACTTTGCAACAACAACAACAACAAAAGCACCTTTGGGACAACCATGTCCTTGGTGACGGAGAATCTCCATAGATAATGCTTCAATATGATAACAAATGGACAGGTGGAGACCAGAGGGTGGGAGGTAAAGTCTACCATCAATCCAGCAACCAGCTGATTTTCGGGTCTCTGCCATGCATGTGGGAGATGTGTGTGGATGTGTGGGGGGGGGCGTCGCACATGCATGTGTGGGGAGGGGTTGGTCTATGCGCATATGCAGGGGGAGCATTGCACATGAATGTACAGTGGAAGTGGGGGTCCCATTTTTTTGTCCCAGGAGGCTTCGGGGAGGCCTGCTAGGCCCAAAATGGGGGAGCAGGGGGAGTCGCACACAAGCAGGCGGGGCAGGGTGCATGTGTCATGCATGCATGCGCAGGGGAGGGGCGCATTGCACAATGGGTGTGGGCAGGCACTCACGTGCTGCCGTGCGCATGCGGGCAATATCGGCAGGCCAGGTGAAAAAGGTCAGCCGTCACTGATATATAGAGTCTCCTGCTTGGGCAGGCGGTTGGACTAGATGACCTCCAAGATTCCCTTCCGGCTCTATTCTTATTTTGAAGTCACTCAACGGCAAAGCCTTGTGTTCACTCTCTTAATTCTCCTCTGTTTGCCTCGTTAATGCTAAAATGCAGCCCCCTTAAAGAGTTTGGATTGGATGTTCTCCGCTGCAAATTCTCGGCTGCCTTCTCTTATTTGTTTTGAGGGAAACCAAATCAAGTCGAAATTCCTGGAGGAAACCTGGGTTGGTTCCAGTTCTCTTCCTTCTCCTCCACCAAGGAGCTTCTCCCGGGATTAAAAAAAAGAGAGCCTCCTGGAGGCCAGATGCAATCGTTGGCATCTGGTGGGATCTCTGGAGCAACTTCCCAGCCAGGAAAAGACCATATTCCTCCAATGTTCGACCTAGATCGTCTTCAAGGCAGGCAAGGCGGTTGGCCCAAACCCCTTTCCCGGCTTTGGAAGCCGGTGGTGAAAACGGGGGTCTGTGCTGAGAGACGCCTCCGAATGTTTTTGTTTTGTTCCCCCTTTTGCATGTTTTCCTTTTGGGCTTGTTCAAAAGAATAACATTCGGCCGCCTGGCCTGCTTGGAAGGCTGGGATGGAGCTGCAGTTGGAAAGAGGCTCCCCGCAATGACATTTATGGCTCTTTAAAGTGGGTCCAAAGGGGGAGCGTGCGCATAATAGGCAACAGGAGAGGGAAGGAGGACACATGCTGCTAATAAGCCGTGTCACAACAAAGGTGGTGGGTGTCTGTGTGGAAGCCTCTTGTCTGCTCTTTCTGGAATGATGGAGATGTTTGGTGGGCTAAGAATGTCTTCCATAAATAGACTGCGTGATAGAGACAATCCTTCGTCTCTCCTCTCTTCCCTTTCTCCTCTCCCTCTCTTCTCTTTCCTTCCTCTCTCTCTCCTTTTTCCTCTCCTTCTCTCCCTCCTTCTCCCTCTCCTTTTTCCTCTTCCCCTCCCTAATTCTCTCCCTCTCCTTTTTCCTCTCTTCTCCCTCCTTCTCCTCTCCCTCTCCTTTTTCCTTCCCTCCTCTCCCTCATTCTCCCTCTCCTTTTTCCTCTTCTTCTCCCTCTCCTCCTCTTCTCCATCTCCTTTTCCTCTCCTTCTCTCCCTCCTTCTCCCTCTCCTTTTTCCTCTCCCTCTCCTCCTCTTCTCCCTCTCCTTTTTCCTCCCCTCCTCTCCCTCCTTCTCCTTTTTCCTCTCCCTCTCCTCTTCTCCATCTCCTTTTCCTCTCCTTCTCTCCCTCCTTCTCCCTCTCCTTTTTCCTCTTCCTCTCCCTCCTTCTCTCCTCT